TTTTTTTAAATGAAAGCCAATTACTGCCGTGCTGGCCCCACCCCCGGGGCAGGCTGAGATGGCAATTGAGACTGGGCATGGTGGCACACACCTGTAATCCCAGCACTTGGGAGGCTGTAAATGGGAGGATCACTACGAGTCCATCTATGCAGTAAGACCCTGTAGACCCTGTCCTAAAATACAGGAAAAAAAAAAGCCAATTAAATTTGATGTACCTAACCTCTTACTCAGCAATTTCATTTCATAGAATTTCCTCTAGCCAGGGGTGGTGATGCACACCTGTAACCCCAGCACTTGGGAGACCAAGGCAGGAGTATCACTATGAGTTTGAGGTCAGTCTGGGCTACGTAGTGAGTTAAAGGGCAGCATGAACTACAGAGTGAGGCCCTAACTACAAAATAAAAAAAAAAAAAAAAGGAGGGGGCCAGTTCTGATTTTATTTTTTTAACAATGTAAGTACAAAGCCTAGTGAAAAACTTTCCAAAAAAAGAAAACTGGCCATCACAGGTGGTTCAGACAGGTATGATTTCTATATACAATTTTAAAAGTCTAAGTAGAGAATCCAGAGACTCAGAGAAACAGCTGTGGTCTGGAACCAAGACCTGGCAAAGGGCCTGGCGCAGCATTTTCCGAGAATGCTGCAGGACCCAGGTTTGATTCCCCAGCACAGCAAAAAAAAAATGTATTGGTGAATAAAAAGGTTTAAAAAATGTATATTTTAAAGATAAATTCCCAACTGAAGAGGAGGGAAGACAGAAAGGAAGGACTAGTTCTGATTCTGCGATGTAGGCGCCCATGTACACTGACCAGAGAGATTGCTGGGAGCTCACAGAGGCCTCCGCTGGGCACCCACAAGAAAGGTGAAGCCTCCGTCCTACAGCTTCAGCCAACTAAAACCTGCCAACAGCTGGAAGAGCAAGGACACCAGTTCTTCCCTACAGTCCCCAGCAAGGAACATAGCCCTGTGGACATTTTCATTTTAGCCAATTAGACTCATCCTGGGCACTGAACCAACATACCTGTAAGAAATAAAATTGTGTTGTTTTAAAAAAAAATAAAAAAATAAAATAAATAAAAAAAATAAATAAAGATAAATTACTGGGGCTGGCCAAATAGCTCAGGGGATTAAAGCGTCTGCAAGCAGATGCAGGGCCTGGGGTTTCAATCCCTGGACTGGCCATGCCAGCCCCGGCCCCTGGGAGCACATTGAGATAGCAACTGAGACTGGGCATGGTGTCCCAGCTCTTGGGAGGCTGTAAACAGCTGGATCACTACCTAGTAATGAAACCCTGAACACCCTGTAGACCCTTCCTAAAATACAAAAAAGAAAAAAAAATTAGTATTTCTCTTTGGGCCAGGGAGATAGCTCAGTAGAATGAGTGCTTGCCTGCTAACCGCAATGTCCTGAGTTCAGTCCCAGGTACCACCAAAAAAAATAAAAACATAAAAAAAAAAAAAATACTTAAAATGTTTTTTTATTTTTAATTCCTAACTTTTAATGGATTTCTTTTCTTCTTCCTTTTTGATTTTTTTTAAAAATTGACTACTGATACTGATACTGAGACCCTCCAGGCCCTCCACAGTAATAAAGAGTGCTGTGGCCTTCTCCCTCCACCCAACCGTCTGCATACTGTGCTGATGCTGCCACTGCCACTGCTGCAGGTTTGGAGGCTGACAACAGTCAGAACTCCAGTTGCCAGGGCAGGGACTTGAGTTTCCCAGGGCTGGGTAAGCTGGGCTCCTTGGCTCCTGTATCCTGGTTCCTGGCCTGATGCAGGATAGAGGGCCAGGCAGGGGGCTCCTCATCCCATCTGGGCCCAACCAGGGCCTCTCTGGTGCCGCCAGCAGCCCCCACCTTGGGGCAAGCATGAGGCCCTGGCTGGCAGCAGTCCCCAGCTAAAGACTCTGGACTCCTTATCTCTTGGCATCCTGCCTCAGGCCAGAGGATCACCTGCCAGAGATCTAGGGATGGGGGGCCCTCCCTTCACTCACTCTGTACCCTCCCCTTTCCTTGGGGAGTCCAAATAGAGAAAGGAGGAGATGCCCTCAGAGATGGATGTCCACAGCAGAGGGACATCCATCCATCCATCTCTGTTTCTCTGTCTGCACAGGGACAAGTGACTGACTGCCTGCTCTTCAGTGGTCCAAGTGAAACACTGCGGCCAATCTTGATGGTCTTCCCCATCAAGTGCCTCGGCCACAGGCAAGCAATGCGACTTGGGGGCCCCTTGAACTTGTGATCCTCCTGCCTCGGCTTCCTGAACAGGGGAGAGGGACAACAGGTACACAACACATTCAGCCAAGTGTGTTTTGTTTTAAAGCAAAGTCCCTCCAGATAACATGCTACCAGCATGTGTTTCTGCAAAGCAGCGAGGTGCTACATTCCACAAATAAGTAGAAAGTGGCAAATGACACCGGCACAGGAGATGGCCCCACTCACCAAAGCCACTCCCTTTCACTGGGCATTGCTGAGATCCCAAGACTGTGGGCAAGGAGAGTGGGCAGGTAAGGAAACAGGATGCATTTGAATACAGGGAATATCCTGTAACTCACATATGCTGTATACACACGCGTGCACACACACTCAGGCACAGCCCAGGCTTTGAGAGTCTGTTAGGCACCATCAGCCCAGAGATGGAATATTTCTTCCCTGAAGAACTCAAAGTAGTATCCAGAACTAAAATGAAGAGCATCTCTTTTCCCTATCTCTGGCCAATGAGTCTGTGGGATAAGCCCCACAGGCCACAGGAAGTACAGAACCTGCACCCACAGAGCTGAGGAGGACAGGAATTCACTCATGGCCAGGCTCCCACCAGCCCTACAGCCTGCTGGCCACATCAGCTTCTGAGAACCCTAAATTACCACTCCATTCCAGGTAAAGACCAGGTCCCCACTCCACAGGGCACTGAGAACAGACCACTGAGGGTAAGCAGCTCCTCACTGCTGGAGAGTGGGGGGACCAAGATTTAAACACAGGCCCATCTGCTCAAAAGCCCCACCCCGCCCCCACCTGAAATGCAGTGAGCTCCCCTAAACCTAGATGCACCCTGTGTGGACACCACTCTTGCGCTGCTTGCTACTTTACTCCTTATATGTGCCATTCTCTCAGGAGCCTGCACCAGAAGGGCAGGAGCCGGGCCTTCTGCCCGGCCTACCCAGCACAGCAGCCCCAGAGCACAAACCAGCCACTGTGCATCTGACTTGGCTCTGCTCCCTGGGACAACACTGGGTATGGATTTGTGCTCAGAGTCACGGAGCTCTGGTGCCTCCAGGAGCCCATGATTCTCACTTCTCCAGCCTACAGAACAAGGCCAGCCAGGTGTGCCGGCACACACCTCCCAGCACTCAGAAGGCTGAGACAGAGGGATCATAAATTCCAGCCCAATTCAGCAAGTCGCTGTCTCAAAACTGGAATAACTGAAAAATAAAATATGGCTTTTTTTTTTTTAGTATGTGTGCTAAGAATTGTATACAAAGTGAATCATCCGTACTGATCCTCAACACAACCAATAAAATCTCAAACATGGAAGAAAGAAAGAAAGAAAGAAAGAAAGAAAGAAAGAAAGAAAGAAAGAAAGAAAGAACAAGCAAGCAAGCCATTCAGAGGAAATAGCTCAGTGCAAAGGCTCTGGGTTCGATTCCCAGTACTGCCAAAAACCCACAACCTGGGCGGTCAATAAAATGGCCACTCCCACCCCTTGGGTTACGGGGTTTCTCAGCCAACAGCTGGCTCATTTCCTCCCTCTGCCTTTTACTCACCCACACGCCAGGTGAGCAACAAAGGCCAGATTAACCGGAAAAAAGCCTGCTGGCCTAGCACTTCAGGAAAAAGAAACTCTATCCAGGATCTCCGGGCCCACTGTGATCCTAGTCCACCTGCACAGCCTCTGAAGAGGGCACCCCTGATGAAAATCGAACCTGGGCCTCCAACAGGAGGGGCAACGTGAGGCTTCAATTCTAGCTGTTAAAAGTTGATTCTGGACATTCCTTCTCTTGTTCCATCAAAATGATGAGATCTTCCCCAGTTTCTAGTTTTAGAAGTAAACCTTACAGAATTGTACAGACTGTGCCCAAGAGATCCATCTGACCTTAGTACTGATCAGAGCCCTTTCCAAGGTCGCAGAGGAAGTCAGCAGTACAGCCAGAACAGAAGCCAGGATGGCCATTCCAGATGGGGCCCTGGCTAGCATCACTACCCCCCAGCAGGCTCCGCCTACCCCAACTAGGGGCTGGAGGTACCTGAGAAGAGAGGAATAAAGTCACAAATCCAGATCCAGGCTGCTGGGAAGGATCCCTCCCTTCTGTTTAGGCCATGGGAGTGCACTCAACCCCTCACCGACCAAATCATGATCAGAGTCCTCTTGGACGCGCAAGCTATTTAACCATTTGCAGAACCCAGGCCCAAGCAGAGGCTCGATCCTTAAAAGAACCCAGAGCAGAAGAAAATTCCCTAGTTAACCGGCCCTGCAGATCACAAGGTGAAACTGTGGAGATGCTATTCTGGCCCGCAGCCCTGAAACGCCAAGAGGGAGCGTTCCCAACTTGGTCAGGACTGCAAATATAGCCGAAAAGCCATCCTCGCGGTACGCCCGGTGAGAGTTTAGCTCCGTTCTCCTCTGCTGTCCCCGGCTCCAGCTCCCGCCTCCTGAAAGATCTGGGGCGCTGATCTTCAGCTGAGGGGTGGCCTGGCGCGGGTGAGGGTACGCAGTTCCTGGAAAGCAAAATCCAGACACCATGCCCCTTCGGTGCAGCAAGGCAGCACATCAGATTTACCCATCCACTCTGCTTTCCTGCGCCCCTGCGCCCCGGGCCCCTGGCTCCAGGAAGCCTGTCTCAGCCTTTCCACGAAGCTACTGACGTCCCGGGTGCCCTTCTCCAGCTTACACATCCGCGCTCTCAGCCGAACGGACCGCGCGTTGCCCTCGCTCCCCTCGCCGTCGCGAAACCTGCTCCGGGTCGCCCTCCCGCGCCCATCCTGAGCGCCGGCTCCCCGCGCTCACCTGCAGCCTGCAACCGGGCCGCGCAGCCTCACCCTCCACCAGGCCGGGAGCCGCTGGGTACTGGCGTCCGCGCACACCGCCGCGTGCCCCCTCCCTCGCTGCGTCCGGCCCGGCCGCCGCGCGCATGCCCGCTATATACCCGGCGCGTCGGCGCAGGCCCGCCCCCACCCCGCCCCGCCCCTCCCCGCGCTCCCCGGGGCTGCCACGTGGGGCGAGCGGCTGCGCCCTAGCCCTCCTGCCCCTGGGGGACAGCGCGGGCGCGACCTCCGCTTGCCGGACTCGCCGGCTCTGCGCTTGCTTTCCATCCCAGAGCCTCCAGGTCGCGCAGGCTCCTCTGCCTGGAAAACCTCCGTTACACCGTCTACGTGGGAAGCGCTGCCCACCTCCTCGCGCACTGTGGAGGAGGGAGCGCCCCGGCGGACACGTGTGCGTTCACTTTTATATGTTTCCCTCGCGACTCTGAGATGTACTGTGGGTGGGGCAGCCACATAGACTTTCTTCTGCATACTTCCACCAGCCAAAAGAGCCAAAATGTCCTGTTCTAGTTCCAAATAAACCATATTATATTCACTTTTCAAACTACATTTCACTCCACGTCCCCCAAACAGACTCCGAAGGAGCCGTGTCGGTTAACCCAAATGCTGTTGGCTGGAGGAAAGATCTGGGAGTCTCTTCCGCTGTGGGGTGGGCCTGTGGATCTGGATTATCAAGGCTCGGGAATGCAAATTGCTTGAGAAAATAAATTACCCATTAAATCCTCATTGTTTTGCCCTGCTGGAAGTCAGGATTATTTCCTCTATAGTTAAACCAGCTGCCACCCGGGGCTGGGAGAACTGGGGTGGGGGGTGGCTTCCCACAGGAGCTGCGGCCAGTTAGGACCGCGGTTCTGACACAATGACGCCAGCCCAGCTGCTGCCCGGAGTCGCTGAATTGGAGCAGAGAAGGGAGACAGCATCCCACTCTGAAAGAATCTCGGGGCGAACACACCCATCAAGGCGGGGCTAAAAAGGAAAGGAAGGCTACTGTCCGAGCAGGTGGCAGGAAGGAGCCCGAGCCCCAAGAACTGGGAGAGAGGGGGAGCAAGCCCTGAAGCTGGGCCAGATTGTTCTGGTCACTCTGGAAGAGACTAGCTGTGCCTGGATTCTTCTAAAATTCAATTATCCTCACCCTGTTATTACAGTGCTCCAGCGGATCTAGGGGCGAGCCAGGGCTCTCGTTTATTTTCCAAGTAATTCCAAGGTAATGATATCTCTGGCACGGTTTCCCCCAGAGCCCCCGCATCTCTGTAATAACCCTATTTACCTTTTTGGGTCCAAGTCACAGTGTTCTGCAGACATTATGTCATCCATGGGGGAACTCTAATCCGAAATGCAGAGGCCAGTCCCTATCAGGCCTTTGCCTGGGAACTAGAAAAGAAATCAGAAGCCCACCCAGCGATAAAGCAAACACAGCGCACAACGCAGAATAGTGAAGGAGTGCTAGTCTTTCCCAAAAACTGGGGTCCCAGAGTTGTCCATAGCACTTCCCAGCAAGCTGTCAATAATACATGTAGGAGCACTGGCTTCTGTCAAAGACGCTGCTCAAAGTACGGATGGAGAGGCAGGAAGGCGGAGACACCCACCACGGGGCCTACCAGCAGATAGTCTCACTTGTTTGTACCCAGAGTAAATGTGGAGCTGCCAAAGTCCACATGGGCACCCAAAGCTGATAAGCTATCGGTAATCCGTGAGGAACTGCGCGGGAATACAATTAATTATTAACATTGCTCAAAATCAAAAGGCCCGTAATCTCCGTGTCTACCCCCACACAAAATTCTTTAGAGTAGCCCGGCTTAATCCTCTCTCATCACTGATAGTGCTGTCCCTCATACTTGCTGCCAGATTGGGGCCTCAAATCTCTCATCTTTCCCTTCCTTAAGGCGCCCTTCCCCCTCCTCTAATTACCCCATTTCTATGTGCCAGAATTCCAACTTTCCAGTCAACTTCCCCAGCAAGCTGCTCAGCTGTCTGTTTAAAACGATTTATCCTTTCAAACTGTTTTGACTATAATCCACATTTTAAACGGAGCTCATTTGCTCTCTCTCGCTGTCTCTCTCTCTCTCTCTCTCTCTCTCTCTCTCTCTCTCTCTCTGTGTGTGTGTGTGTGTGTGTGTGTGTGTGTGTGTGTGTTACCGGGGATTGAATCCAAGGCCTTCATAGTACCTTTTTTTTATTTTGCAACAGGGTCTCACTAGGTTGCCCAGGCTGGGTTTGAACTTGCAATCCTCCTGCCTCAGCCTCCCATAGTGCTAGAATTACAAGCATACACCAGCGTATCTAGCTCCCACTTATTTACATATGTATGTATGTATGTATCTTTTTGAAACAAGGTCTCACTGTTCAGTTGAGGTTGGCCTTGAGTTTGCTTTATAGCCCAGGCTGGTCTTGAACTTGCAAGGATCATTCTCGAGACTTCAACCTCCTGAGTGCTGGGATTACAGGCATGGGCCACCACACCTGGCTCAGTGGCTCCCACTTGAAAACATTAATATGCTACATGTTATAATCCCAGCATTCTAGAAACTGAGGCAGGAAGACTGCTGTGAATTTGAGAGTTTGTGGGCAGCCTGGACTATATAGTGAGTTCAAGGCCAGAGAGACCTATATAGAGATCCTGTCCCCCCTCAAAACAAACAAAATAATAATAATAGTAATAATGCCAGTAAAAAAAAATATAATAAGCAAAAATTTCACAGAATGGAGCCTGGGAATATAGCCCAGTGGTAGAATGCTTGCTTAGCATTTAAGGGGCCCTGGATTTGATCCCTCGCATCTCAAAAAAAAAAAAAAGTTCTAATACCAGTGTACCCATCTATAAAATACACTGACAGTTATAATTCATTTTTTAAAATTAAGTTTTCTTGAACTTCCAATATTCAATTTTTTCCCAATCTTGTATATCTGTTAATCTGAGCAACCGATGTGAAGATAAAAATAGATAATTCCAAGTACAGTCAAATGACAAACTCACTACACTGATTTCATGACCATTAATGAGTTGTAATCTACAGAATAAATTTGGTATATAGTTCTTACATTTTTTTCCTTCAAACTATTTCATTTCTACCTCTAACCTTATTAGATCTTTTTTATTGTATTTTATGCATTTAGTACAGGGTATACAGGGTCTCATTACACAGATCAGACTGGTAGTGATTCTCCTGTTTTCAGCCTCCCAAGCACTGGGATTACAGGAATGTGCCACCACACCCAGTCTCAATCGCCCTCTCAACTTTTGCCCAGGGGAGTGGGGCATGCCGGGGATTGAACCCAGGCTGCTGCAATCTGCCCAAGCAGATGCTTTAGTCCACTGAGCTATCCGGTCGGCCCTTCACCTCATTAGATCTTAATCTCTATTGTTTACTAAAGGTTTCCAGGTGAAGCTGCATGCCCTAAGGTAACATCTTGCACACAAGCAATTCACAATAAATACGTGTTGGGTGAATGGAACAGGCAGCTCACTGAAGGCTTGGTGTTGGGCAATATATAAGGAAACTGGGCACAAAAATCTGACACTTAACTGCTGCTGTTTCCCTTCCGACCAGAGACCATACCTACCTCTGCCAAAGGGAAAAACCAGCATTTCAAAAGAAACCAGAACTCCACCCCTGCCTAACTGCATGGAGGGCTGGGCTGCTGTGGACTCCTGGGTGGCCCGTGTTGGCCAGGGGGCAATTTGAGGAGCAAGATGGGCCAAAATCTTCCTGTGCCAGCCCTTGCTTAGCTCAAGGTCAAGGTGGACTTCTGCAGAAGACCACAGCTTTTCTCTCCCAGGTTTCTCTGGTACTTTCTTCAGGGGAGGGGAATGACTACACACACACACACCCACCCACCCACCCACCCCAACCGGGGATTTCACTCATGCCCTTGCACTTACTAGGCAAGCGCTTATTCTACTGAGCCATCTCCCCCGTCTTTGTTTGTTTTGTATTTTAGGGTAGGAACTACAGAGTGTTCAGGGTCTCACTACTAGATTGAACTCATAGTGATCTAACTGTTTACAGCTTCCCAAGAGCTGGGATTACAAGCGCATGCCACCACACCCAGTCTCAATAGCCATCTCAGCGAGCCCTGGGGGCGGGGCCAGCATGGCAGGCCCCTGTGCCTGCTTGCAGGCCCTTTAATCCGCTGAGCTATTTGGCCGGCACTGTTTGTGTTTGAGACAAACTTCCAGGGATTGAACTCAGACCCTTGTGCTTGCCAGGGAAGCACTTATTCCACTGAGCCATCTCCTTGGCCCCCCCACACTTTTCACTCTTTAGTTCAAGTTGGCCTTGAGGCCTTGAACACAGTATGTAGTGCACGCTGGTCTCAAAGTTGTGATTCCTCTGCGTCAGCCTCCCAGACTGCTGGGATAACATCCCTGTATCTGACTATATATATAAAGTTTTGGGGGGCTGGTGAGATGGCTCAGTGTTCTAAAGCACCTGCTTAGAACAAGCTTAGCAAAGCACAGGGACCGCGGTTCAATCCCCCAGCACC